GTACCAGGCACCGCCAATCCATCGTTGCAGGTAACGTAGGACGAGCAACATGAGCCGGGCATCACGAAGCCATTAGGCTTATTGTTGCATACCCAGCATGTGGCGTCGGTGTCGGGCACACAGGCACCAACACTGTTGCTGAATATGTTGCCGCGACCACAGGTGCCCTCGACCAGCTCACCGTTCTGGCAAAGCACATACATATCGCATTCGGTTGTCGAGGCCTGCATGGCGCCTTCGGCCAAGCCATTGCATGAGGCAGATCGTTTGCTGCGCGAGTTCGGCTGCAGCCATTTGTTTTCGGGGCATTGATTGTTGTCATCCCGGCGACAGATGCCCACGGAGGCATCAAAGTAGAAGCCACCAGTACAGGACTCCTTAGCCCATTTGCCATTGATGCACGCAAAGTAGGTCCAACAGTTGTCAGCACCACGGGCTGCGGAAAATTCCTTGCATTCGCCACCCGCAGCTATAGCAGTAGACTCAACCACACATATGTTCAGGCTGTCATCATAGTAGCTTCCTTGTCCACAATCAGCGGACACCAATTCACCATTCTCGCATTTGAAGTAGAGGCGGCAATTCTCGGGATCACGCACCGTCTCTCCATCTTTGACGCCATTATCACAATCCTTTCCTGTTATTGGACCTTCGGTCGAGCATGTTGGGCATACATTATTCTCATCAATAACGCAAGCCCCAAGAAGTGCATTGAAATAGGATCCACTTGGGCATGTCCTCGATATCCAGGCGCCATTCTCGCAATAGTTATACTTATTGCAGTTCTCCTCGTCGACAGACACAGTTTCATTTGTGCAGGCTGTACTTGCGCAGCAGTGGTTATCGCTGTCAACCACACATATGTTCAGGCTGTCGTCGTAGTAGTTTCCTTGCCCACAATCAGCGGACACCAATTCCCCATTCTCGCATTTGAAGTAGAGGCGGCAGTTCTCGGGATCAAGAACCGTCTCTCCATCTTTGACGCCATTATCACAATCCTTGCCTGTTATTGGACCTTCGGTTGAGCATGGTGGGCATACATTATTCTCATCAATAACGCAAGCCCCAAGAAGTGCATTGAAATAGGATCCACTTGGACATGTCCTCGATATCCAGGTGCCATTCTCGCAATAGTTATACTTATTGCAGTTCTCCTCGTCGACAGACACAGTTTCATTTGTGCAGGTTGTATTTGAGCAGCAGTGGTTATCGCTGTCAACCACACATACGTTCAGGCTGTCGTCGTAGTAGTTTCCTTGTCCACAATCAGCGGACACCAATTCACCATTCTCGCATTTGAAGTAGAGGCGGCAATTCTCGGGATCAAGTACAGTCTCTCCATCTTTGGTGCCATTATCACAATCCTTGCCTGTTATTGGACCTTCAGTTGAGCATGGTGGGCATACATTATTCTCATCAATAACGCAAGCCCCAACAAGTGCATCGAAATAGGATCCACTAGGGCATGTCTTCGATATCCAGGTGCCATTCTCGCAATAGTTATACTTATTGCAGTTCTCCTCGTCGACAGACACAGTTTCATTTGTGCAGGTTGTATTTGAGCAGCAGTGGTTATCGCTGTCAACCACACATATGTTCAGGCTGTCGTCGTAGTAGTTTCCTTGTCCACAATCAGCGGACACCAATTCCCCATTCTCGCATTTGAAATAGAGGCGGCAATTCTCGGGATCAAGAACCGTCTCTCCATCTTTGACACCATTATCACAATCCTTGCCTGTTATTGGACCTTCGGTTGAGCATTGAGGACATACGTTATTCTCATCAATAACGCAAGTCTCAATGGATTTATCAAAATAGGATCCACTTGCACATGTCTTCGATTCCCAGCTGCCATCCTGGCAAACGTTGTACTTGTAGCAGAATTCATCATCGGCTGACACAGTACCGTCCACACATGTAGTACCTGGAGTAGTTGTGCACTCCTTGTCGGGGCATGTGCCCGGTAAGCAGTGCAGGCCGCTCTCACTAAAGTAGCTACCGGTGGGACACAGTTGGCGGGTTGCCTTTTGCTGAGAGCATATATAGAAGGCGCCGCAGTCGTCATTATCAGCCACCATGGAGCCATCGGTTTTGCCAATGCAGAAGTTCTCCCAGCAGTTTGAGTTATTCTCATCAATGACGCAATCGACCGAACTGTTGCTGTAGTAGGAGCCACTGGCACAGGTCTTTACTGTGGCCACCTTGTCCTCGCAGACGTAGTAACTGGCACAGGATGTGTTGCTTGGGAAGGACACACCATTTTCCTTCGTCAAGCACTGGTTTTGCCAGCACTCTGATGCTGGATCTGGAATGCAAGCATTCGTCGTAATGTCAAATTGGCTACCGGCATCACAGCTCTGTGCATATGCGAGCTGCTCATCACAGATATAGAACTCGGAGCAGTAACCAGACTTAGGTAAGTAGGCGCCATTGACCTCGCTGGCACAGATGTTGGCAAGCTAGTGGAAATTGAGAATAGAGTAGATGAAATGAAAGACCTCAGATTTATCAACTTACACCAGAAAGTGGAGCAGCTAGGCTCAGTTTGCAGACTCCACGTCTTGCTGCCGAGCATTTGCCTGTCTTCGGATTGTAGTCCTTGCCCTTGGGGCATTTAATGGAACGCACCACGTTCTTGTTAGTACAACGATAATAGCTGGAGCAGCTTTTAGGATTCGGCCAGTGTGATGTCAGGCCACGTAGCTTGCGGTAAACGCATTCAGGATCGGCAGCACCGACAATTGCTGCCACTGCGGTCAACGTAACCACAGTAAGCAGAGTAACTGTTAGGGGAAAACGAAATTTACTTTACGCAACTCTATGAATTGATGTCGATGTCCTTTTGCTGACCTTTCATTTCTGTTCACTGATATTCCACGGCTGTTGCTATGATTGGACTCCGCACAATTACCAAAATTTCGTGGTCTTTATATACATACTAAGAGAACGTGGTTAACATTGATTTCTGCTTATCAGCATCATTCGATCGATCAGTGCGTACTTATCAGCATTTGTAGTTTGTGTTCAACATGCGCCCATCAAGTACTTTTAATTGAGTTCAAGACTTTGTGCATGAATTCCAGGAAGACAGCAAACCGAATGTCATAGAGTCTGCTCAGCCACACCCCAAATATAAATTCGCCGATTCTTAATTGGTTATGAATGAAGTGCAATGACAATACATGTGCACCCAAAATTATAAAAACATTATTGCTAAAAAATTAAAGCTTTAAGCTCTATAATTCTTTGCATATATACATATATGGTTTACTATATATATTCATATTCAAGCGCAAACAGCTTCACAAGTCTTTGTCCTAGAGTCCCAATAGAGATCGGATGGACAGTCTTTTATATAGCCAAGGTCACCATCGCAATGGACAAACTTGTGACAGTCATAGGGATATGGCAGCAGCTCAACACCCGGATGGTTTCTACACATTGCATCGATATCTATGCCACCTATGGTTGTTGTTGGTACAGATATGGTTGTGCCTGTGGATTCATTCGATGCGGTCGTCGTTATTGGCTCTTCGCTTGTTCTGCTATCAGTTGTCTGTCCGGTTGTTCCTTGTGTTGAAGTAATACCCGATGGAGTTGTTGCTGATGTTCCTTGACTGGAGCTATTGGGATCTGCAGTGGGTATTACGTCTGTTGGATTTGTTGGCGGCTCTATAGATGTTCCTTGACTGGAACTATTGGGATCTGCAGTGGGTGTTACGCCTGTTGGATTTGGTGGAGACTCCGAAGACGTCTCTTGTGTTGAGCTATTTGGATCTACAGTGGGAGTTACGCCCGTTGGATTTGGTGGAGGCTCAGTTGACGTTTCTTCTGTTGAAATATTTGGATCCGCAGTAGGGGTAACTCCCGTTGGATTTGGTGGAGGCTCAGTAGAACTATTAGGATCTGCAGTGGGTGTTACCTCCGTCGTTGTCTGTGGCAGCCCTGTGGGCGTTTCTTGTGTTGAAGCATTCGGATCCCTGGTAGGATTTGGTGGCGACTCAGATGTGGTGCCGGGATCCCGATTTGGTGTGGTCTCAGAAGGGGTCTGTGTCGAACGTGTGGGTGACACACTGGTTGTCTTCTCAGTTGACTCATTGTCCGTTGGCGTCGATTGAGAGGGGTTCGAGGTTACGCAAGGCGGTGTAATTGTTGTCGTAACTGGTTTGAAACAGCTTGCAGCGTTAAGTGTTTTTAGCAGTAGCACCAACTGCAATAATAGTAATACACTGAAGGCCACTGAAATGGTTACAAATGTCCTTTGATGTCTATCAAATACGAAAGTTCAACTATTTAGAGAACTTACCTTTCATTTTGTTCTAAAACCAAGTGTTTAACAATACTAGAGCAGCTGCAGACGATGCGCTTCATATTTATAGCACTCGAAAATGCTACTATATGTATTATTGCTCTATCAATGTCTAATTAGTGCATTACAATGCACTTATTCAGTTATCTTATCTCAATTTTGTTGATTTGCATAAACCTACATATTCAATCAGAAATTGTCAATATTATTGCCCATAGTCAATCGAAGGTAGTAAACAAAGGTGAGGAATTCTGAAAAATTGATGACTGAATTACAATCTTACATTTGTATTCAATTAATTAGGAACTAAATGATTTGATAATTAGTGTTATGTGTAAACTTGCAAAATAAATAACTATATGCCTGAAAGTATGCAACATAATGGATTTACTATGTAATATTTACTACTATTTCTTCGAATTGGTAGTAGAATTTTTGGTTTGGAATGGGAAAAAGTCGTTATAAAATTAATAATACTTAAATTTCTTGTTTTCATATTTATAAATAACTTTTGTGCACTGACTCTAACAATCTGATTTCTAATATCAAAAAGTTATGAAATGTATGAAATAAATTACTAACACACTCACATTAATCTTCTCCTGTTAGCTAATTAATGTAGTTACACCGTTAAACAATTACTAAGTGCGCTTATCAAGTTGCCTTTATTGAAGGCTCTATATAATGTGCAAATCGATCGATTATTGAGCATATATAAAGTCAAATAGTTCATCAGAAGTTCAGTCGAAGTTAACGAACGAAGCACAGACAGCAGCAAATAATACAAAATGAAAGGTTAGTTTGATCGACTCAATATTCTCATCCATATGGAATACAGAAGATGAAAAAAAAAAATACGAATTAAATTTTAATTTCTCAATAACTGTTAACTTGCAGCAATTATTGGAATACTACTTATCCGAGTGATAATTATATTTGCTCAACCCATTGATGACTTTGCCACATTTGGAACATCACCAGAGTCGGAAATAACTGAACCCCAAACAGCTTCAACAGAAAATACAGAGAGTTCTCCAACATATATTGAGATTTCTACAGAAGAAACTGAAGTAACAGGAGCAACTGAAGAAAGTGAAGTAACAGAAGAAACTAATGTAACAGAAGAAACTAATGTAACAGAAGAAACTAATGTAACAGAGGAAACTGAAGTAACTGAAGAAACAACTGACCCACCAACGTCCACAACAGAGGAACTAGAAACCACTGTCGAACCAATAGTTGTATGTGATGAGGGAGTCGCATTCCTGCCAGCGCCGGAGTGCACTGATTACTACATGTGTCTACATGGAGTGGGCATCTTAAAATCATGTCCAGACGGTCTCTACTGGGATCCCAGATGGAGCACCTGCAATTGGAACTCAGCAGGTTGCAATAACGAGTTACCGGAATACCAATGTGAAGACGGTGTTGACTTTCTGCCTGTGGAATCAGATTGCACTCAGTACATTCAGTGCGTTCACAATAGTCCCATACAGATGACATGTCCAGCTAATCTCCTTTGGAATCAGCCACTTCGAAGATGTGACTATGAATGTGAAATTTAGAAATTTCCTAAATTTTATTAAATTAATTTTGTTTATCTTTTTTTTTTTCATTATTATTAATTGATATGAAAAAGTGAATCATTCGCCAAGAATGTTAACTGCTATTGAAAATAATAAATAGATTGGAGTTATATAAATTTATAATCATTGTTTTGATATCAGAGCTGTAATAGATATAATACAATGACTGTAAAGACTATCACAGACCTCTTACCATGAAAAACAGTAAAATGCAACAACTTGGAGATAACAATGAGCTTCACATTGGTATAGATAAGAGTGGGTATAAAAGTATTGTCAACAAATAAATAACGCGTGCAGCCAGAGAAGCGTATCAATAATGAAGATATATCTTTATGTGTATATTAGTTTGTGTATATATGTCTATATGTCTATATGTATACATGTCTATATGTCTATATGTCTATATGTCTATATGTCTATATGTCTATATGTCTACATGTCTACATGTCTATATGTCTATATGTCTATATGTATACATGTCTATAAGTCTATAAGTCTATATGTCCGATATCAAATTTAAATTATCAATCAGTTTAAAGGTAGAGTTATGCTATCCATATTACTAGTTTAATATTCTTTAAAAATAATAAATTCTATATTTCAATAATCATTATATAGAAAACAATCTGATATTTTCTCTGATTTTTAGTAAAACTCTGCCAAAACAAAAAACAAAAACAATCAAACTAGATTATGGGAAGCACCAAATGGTTAGCGAGGCAAAAAACAAAGTACATAACACAGATTTATACCATATCATAACAAAGCAATTATCAATATTCCAGAGAACAAAAGTTGTAATTAAAAGATGATTTGTTTTGTACCTATAGGGTATAAAAGTCACCAGACTACAGCCTACGAAGACAGACCAAATTTTGGTGTGAACAAAGTCAATATGAGATCTTTTAGTAAGTGTTAAAATCGAATACTTTAAAGGAAATATTTCATCTAAAATTCTTACAGTTGTCGTTCTGTTGTTTGCTGCTGCAGTCAGAGCTCAAAGTCTGAAAGATGTAAGCGAATGGCTTGAATTAACCATTATTATAATGTATAACATTTATTTCAGTAAATTATTCCATTTGCAGCATTGCAAGGGCATTCAATATGATCTATTACCACATCCGGATACCAATGAGAAATTCATTGTATGCGCCTATGATTCGGCCGAAGTGCGTACCTGTGACAAGGAAGATCAAGTGCAGAAGTGTTTCGATCCCATCGACAAGGTCTGCAGCGTTGCTGCTTGCACGGCGCCCAAGCCCGTAGACGAGGACATTGCCAAGGAGATATGCGAGAAATTGGGTACATCGGAGCGTATACCGTCTGTCGATTGCGGCCACTTCTGGATCTGCCTAGCGCACATGGAGCCCGTCTATGTTAGCTGTCCACAGGGCAAGCACTTCTCGCGCTCCGAACAGGATTGCATTTCGCCAGCCCTGGCCAAGTGCGCGGCCCCTGAGAAACTGTGCGCGTCCAACCTCAACAGCTACGCAGCCGAAAACTGCAATGAATTTTATGGTTGTACCAACAAGAAGCTGGTGAAACGCAGCTGCGCCTATGGCGAGGCCTACAATGCACTCACCGCATCCTGCGAAAAGGACGTCAAGAATAGCTGTGGAGCCTACAGCAAGCCAGACTGCACAGACCCAGCCAATGCCAATGCCTATTTCGCTCACAGTGACTGTTCGCGATTCTACATTTGCGTATTGAATCAAGTCTACGAGGGAAAATGCGCAGATGGCTATGGATTTGATAGTTTAAGCTCTAATTGCAAGTACGGCCTCTGCTAAGGCAACAATTAAATAAAATAATCAGTCTATACTATCAATTTCGCATGGTTTATTTATCTGTCGGCATTTTAGTTTAGTTACTCTTGGCTAAACACATATTTTGTCACAGGTCAACAGCTGGGAGTTCCAGTACAAGTAGCGCGGGCAGCTCTTCACAAATGGCAAATAGTCGCACTGTATGAAACGCGTGCAGTCTCCGGGATAGGGTATAAATGTGCCTAGCTTATCCTTACACAACCCATTGAAGTCTCCCTCGGGTTGGCTTGAAAATTTCGAGCAATTGCTCAGCTCATTGGTGTCACAGCGTTGCAATTGGGCATTCCAGTAGGATTTGGTCGGACAGGTCAGTGCTCGTGTCTGGTAATAGCGATTGCAGTCACCTGGATAGGGCTTATAAGTTATGCCATCTGCCCGGATGCCAGTGAATTGTTCTGCTGAGCTGAAGCTACTCACGAGAGCGAAAGCACAGAAAATCCAAATTTTAAGCACTATGAAAAGAAATTTTATAAACTGACTTAAAAATTAAATAAAAAACATTTACTTACTTCTTACTTTCTCTGATGGAAAATGAGAACTTTGCAGCTCTATTACACGGCTTTATATACAGTATGTGTGAAACACTCATAACGCTAAAATCAATAATATCTAGATAAAATATAGATTATATGAATTGTGTACATAGCCAGAGCTTGACCGGTTAAGTGGCTTTGATTTAACTGGAAATATGTGAAGATGAATTTGAAAGGAAAATATATAAATTAATAACACTTGACTGAGGAATTTATTTTTATCTTAAAGCTAACTAAATGAGCTTAATCAGCCATTGACAGGAGAAATAATGGAGATAGAGCTTAATAAGAATTTGTATAAAAAGGCAGAGCTAAGCATTAAGATCATTCAGTACTTGCTACTAGGCTCAGCTGATACGATCATACGATATTGGTTAATTTTTTCTTTCGAGACAATGAAATTTGCGGTCTTCATTTGCCTGCTTGGCGTTACCTTAGCAACTGGAAACTTTGGTAATGTGGGCATTGGTTTGGTAAGTGTAATCGAAACGATTCGACATCAAGTCTTTAATAATTGCATCTACAGCCTATCTCACTGGAACCGCCCATTGAGATGAGTAAGTGTCCTGCCAATGATGATCCCAATCACTTTGTTATGTTTGCCTACCCCAACGACTGCCGCAAGTACTACGCCTGTGTAAATGGTCGGGCCTATGCACATCAGTGTCCCGAAAATCTCTACTGGAGCCAGCTGACGTATCGCTGTGACTACAGGCAGTACGCCAATTGCGACAATATGCCGTATCCGGAGCACACGCAGTACAGCGCCTATCCCGGCGATTGTGGACACTACTTTGAGACGCGTCTGCTAAGCTGCCCGAACAACTATGACTGGAATGATCAATATAAACGCTGCGATCCGCCACAAATTGCCGGATGCCGGCCAACACCGCCTCTTAACACCCAGATACCATTTGAGCCGACCGCAGCAACTCCGCCAGCCGTAATCAAGCCAACAATTCAACCAGAGCACAGTGCACCCATTGATCCGCAAAGTCTATGCATTGCTGCTGCTGGCCAACTGACATATCTTCCATATCCCGGAGATTGTCACAAGTTCATTCAATGTGGTCCAACAGCCTCGGTACTTACTTGTGCCATCGGCTTGTACTGGAACCGCAGCACCCAATCTTGTGGCTCATCCCAAATCGATTGCCAGCCCAACGAGCTCTCATACTTCTCCAAAGAAGTTTGAATACACTTTATATGTTGAATTCATAAATATTGACAAGGATTATATAATCAAATATTAATTTGTAATAATTGCAAGCTTCATAAATTTAATAAAAACGCTTACTTCATACGCAAAGAAATTAATCAAAAGGTAAAGAAATTGGAAAGTTTTTTAAATTGTTGATATGTTTATTATTCTTAATTTTTTTTTTTTTTTACTGTAAGTACGCATTTAATTTTTTTTTAAATATCGTGAAATTCGAAAAGCCTTGCAGTTAATTTGAATTCTTAATCAGAAGAGTCTAACCACATCCGAATTTTAGAATTGACATCCGACTATTTTATCTTCCATTAAGAGTCATCATCATAAAGTATAACTTCGACATGAATATTCAAAGCCTGGCCTTCATTTTCGTAATTTTCCTATACTCATTTGATTAGAATTCCAGTTAGAACGGTTTCCATGCTTTATCTTATGCAATGCAATTAGCCAGTTGTGCGTCCGTGCAGCTCATGACAACTACATTAAACTCCTGCTCATCTGGACAGTCGTAGCCCACAGCAATGGGCTCTTGGCATACAATATATTTGGAGCAATTGTGCGGATATGGCACTAGTGAGCCTTCAGGTTTACCTTCACAGATGTCATTAGGCGATTGATTGGACTCTGTTGTTGTTGTTATTGTCACAGGTAATTTGGTAGTAGAAGTCAGAGGTTTGGCAGTTGTTGCAGTCATGGTGCAGTTGGCATACCAGGGAGCCATGCAGCGCTTGAGTGAAGGACTAAACTCTTGACCCTCAGCACAATTGAAGATCAGTGGATTGGGCGAATAACACTGAAGGAATTTGGTGCAGTCATTGGGATAGGGCACCAGGACACCCTCCTCGACGCCCGCACAAGGATCAAAAGGATCGGGCTGTGATGTTGGTGTCGTTGTTGTTGTTGTTGAAACTGTCGTAGTCATTGTAGTCATTGTAGTTGACGGCAAAGCGGTTGTTGTTGTTGCAGTTGGGTCGTAACTCTGGAGACAGGCGTCGGGCGCTACAGTGCCACCACATTCACCACTAATGGGATCGTAATACTCACCGATGCCGCAAACGCCCATCATATAGACTTTATCATTTATGCAACGAATAAACCACTGACAATTTTCTGTGAATGGAAGTGTATTTCCTTTACCATTTATGCAGGTGTCAGGAGCAGGCGTCGGTGGAAGTGGCATCATTGTGGTGCCAATGGATTCGCAATCACTTTGAGCCCAATCCACACACTGCTGCAGTGCTGCACTGAAGAAATATCCCTGAATGCAGTGGAATGCTATAGGCACAGGCTCTACACAAATAATATATTTGCGGCAATTATCTGGATAGTTAACATATTGTCCCTTTGGTACTCCGGCACAAATCTTAGAATCTGGCTGATCGGTTGTTGTCGACGGCTTCAGTGTGGTTGTCCCTGCAGTATTCGGTGCTGTGGTTGTTGTCCCTGCAGTTGTCTGTGGTGCTGTGGTGGTTGTAGTGATAACACTCTCCTGGCACGCTGTGGGCGATACGTTCTGCTCACAATTGCCCGTCGCGGGATCGAACCAAGCATTATATATACAGTCAACAATCACAGACTCTCCGTCACCCAAACACAACATATACTTTGTACAGTCAGTGACTATTGGATACGAAACACCTAGCTCCTGATCAACACAGCGATCTTGTGGACTTTGCGTTATAGTTGTTGCTACGGTGGTTGTTGTTTCATCTTCCTGGCAAGCTGTCTTCGACACATCACGTCCACAATCGCCAGTCTTTGGATCGTACCAGGCATTAACTGGACAACTCGCTCTGTAATATTGATCGTCGCCGAGGCACAAAATATACTGTTGGCAGTCCTCAATATATGGGAAGGTAGTACCAGACTTTTCTCCCACACATTTTGTAAATGCTTCGGTCGTTGTTTTTGGATTTTGTGTGGTTGTCAGTGGTGTAGTAGTAGTCTGATCACTATAGCAGACAACTTCATTGGGATCATCGCATACAAGTATAACAGGATTGAAAAGATAATGATCGGGACATGTCTGCAGTACAGCTTGGTGTTCAATGCAAACCATGAACGCATTGCATTGGTCTATCACAGGAAACACACTTCCGTTGGGAACATTCAGGCATTCCGGGTCAGGGATTGGCTTTGCGCTACAATCAACAGAATCGGGCGTGTCACAAATCTGTAGATCTTTGTTGAATAGCTTCCCACTAGAGCAGTATTGGAGATACGCTTTCGAGTCGATACATGAAATGTACGCAGCACAGTCGTATGGATACTCATAAAAGCCATCAGGCAGATATTTGCAGAAATCTGCTTCAACATTTGGGGTTTGTTTTTTGACTCGAATATTTCTAGTTGAAGCACATTGAACAGCAATCGCCAGCGATATGAAAACGAATCTCCAGCTCCAGTTATAAGCTGAAAAGAGTAAAGCAAAAAGAATACCATGAGAAACTAGAAAATTAGAAAGAAACTTTGTTATGTTGATACTAAATTCGGAATACTAAATAATATTCGGTTGCCTTTTTTAGGCAGTTGCATAATTTATTTTCAGAATAACATTTCAAGTATAGTTTTCAGTTTATAGTTAGGATCCATCGGTTAAGAGTTCCTCGTTGTTATATTTTGGGTTCATCTAGTGCTGAACACATCCAGTATTCTCAGGTAGATCACAAATTCCCTTCTGGCCATTGAAGTATCTGTCACCGCAGCTGACCTTCAGGGCTTGCTGGTGGCGGCAGATGTAGTAGTCGTTGCAGCGCTTAGGAGAGGCCATGAGGAAGCCATCAGGCTTGCCAATACAGTTGATTTGAATTCCATTTTCAACGGATGAGAGGCCAAGCAAAGTCTGAACCACTTCCTTCAAAGGACGACGGTTGGGACGGGCACGAACCGGGTGCTTAGCATTCAGTGCTGAAATGCCTTTATTTGCTTTTGAGCCTGGGCACGGTGTTGTTATGATTGGGGCACAAGCTGTTGTCGTTGTGCTGCACGGAGTAGTCACCGTTGTAGGCGCGGGGCAGGTGGTGGTGGTACATGTTGTTGTTTTTGTTGTTGTTGTGGTGCAAGTTGTCGTTTTTGTTGTTGTTGTGGTGCAAGTTGTTGTTTTTGTTGTTGTCGTGGTGCAAGTTGTCGTGGTGGTGGTTGTCGTAGTACAGGTTGTAGTTGTGGTGGTTGTCGTGGTACAGGTTGTAGTGGTGGTGGTTGTCGTGGTACAGGTTGTAGTTGTGGTGGTTGTCGTGGTACAGGTTGTAGTTGTGGTAGTTGTCGTGGTGGTGGTTGTCGTGGTACAGGTTGTAGTTGTGGTAGTTGTCGTGGTGGTGGTTGTCGTGGTACAGGTTGTAGTTGTGGTAGTTGTCGTGGTGGTGGTTGTCGTGGTACAGGTTGTAGTTGTTGTCGTAGTTGTTGTCGTGGTTGTTGTCGTTGTAGTAGTAGTCGTGGTGCATGGAGTGGTGGTTGTTGTTGTGGTCGTCGTAGTTGTTGTCGTGGTACAGGTTGTAGTTGTTGTCGTAGTTGTTGTCGTGGTTGTGGTCGTTGTCGTAGTAGTAGTCGTGGTGCATGGAGTGGTGGTTGTTGTTGTGGTCGTCGTAGTTGTTGTCGTAGTTGTTGTCGTTGTCGTAGTAGTCGTGGTAGTTGTTGTGGTAGTTGTTGTCGTGGTTGTTGTCGTAGTAGTTGTGGTGCATGGAGTGGTGGTTGTTGTTGTGGTCGTCGTAGTTGTTGTCGTAGTTGTTGTCGTAGTTGTTGTCGTGGTTGTTGTCGTTGTCGTTGTAGTCGTGGTGCATGGAGTGGTGGTTGTTGTTGTGGTCGTCGTTGTGGTCGTCGTAGTTGTTGTCGTGGTTGTTGTCGTGGTTGTTGTTGTTGTCGTAGTAGTCGTGGTGCATGGAGTGGTGGTTGTTGTTGTGGTCGTCGTTGTGGTCGTCGTTGTGGTCGTCGTAGTTGTTGTCGTTGTCGTAGTAGTCGTGGTGCATGTCGTAGTAGTCGTGGTGCATGTAGTGGTTGTCGTCGTTGTTGTTGTTGTCGTAGTTGTTGTTGTTGTCGTTGTCGTCGTTGTTGTTGTTGTCGTCGTGGTTGTTGTTGTGCATGGAGTGGTGGTTGTTGTTGTAGTTGTTGTCGTTGTCGTTGTTGTTGTTGTGGTTGTTGTCGTGGTTGTTATCGTGGTTGTTGTCGTTGTTGTTGTAGTAGTGGTGCATGGAGTGGTTGTTGTTGTTGTAGTAGTAGTTGTTGTCGTAGTTGTCGTGGTGGTTGTCGTTGTTTTAGTCGTTGTGCATGGAGTTGTAGTTGTTGTTGTCGTTGTGGTTGTGGTTGTCGTTGTTGTTGTAGTTGTGGTTGTAGTTGTCGTTGTGGTTGTGGTTGTTGTTGTAGTTGTGGTTGTAGTTGTCGTTGTCGTTGTCGTTGTTGTAGTCGTAGTGGTGCATGGAGTGGTTGTGGTTGTAGTAGTAGTTGTTGTCGTGGTTGTTGTTGTCGTAGTTGTTGTCGTGGTTGTTGTCGTGGTTGTTGTCGTTGTTGTAGTCGTTGTGCATGGAGTTGTAGTTGTTGTTGTCGTTGTGGTTGTGGTTGTGGTTGTCGTTGTTGTTGTAGTTGTGGTTGTAGTTGTCGTTGTCGTTGTTGTAGTCGTAATGGTGCATGGAGTGGTTGTAGTTGTAGTAATAGTTGTTGTCGTGGTTGTTGTTGTCGTAGTTGTTGTCGTGGTTGTTGTTGTCGTAGTTGTTGTCGTGGTTGTTGTCGTCGTAGTTGTTGTCGTGGTCGTTGTCGTGGTAGTTGTTGTACATGGAGTTGTAGTGGTAGTTGTTGTTTTTGGTGTAGTTGTTTTCGTGGTCGTAGTTGTTGTAGTGGGTGTTGGTGTTGTCTTGTCACCGGTGCATGGCGGGGTCGGTGTAACAATTGAAGGAGTTGTTGTTGGCTTATTGTTTTCAGAGCACGGCGGGCGAGTGGTAACGATTGGAGGTGTTGTTGTCTGGCAAGGACTCTGCGTATCCCTAACTGTAGCCGCTTGACGATTTTCCTCAATAGTTTCAACACAGCCTGGATTCTTTAGTACGCAAATTCCCGCTGTAATGTCGAAGAACTTGGGGCAAGTGTACTCCTTATACTCTCCTCGATAACACTCAATAAATTTGGAACAGCTGCCGGGCACGAGAGCTCTCAGGCCATTTGGCTTTCCCTTACAGAATGTCTGGCCATACTGTCGATTATCCACGCTGGCGCCAAGTATGGTGCTTGCAGATACTGCTATGAGCAGTAAAGTTAAAGCTGCAAATTTCCAAAAGTGAGTTAGCTCAACCAATTGGAAGTGCTGCTTTCCGGCGGCTTACCATAAAAGTTACGCATGGCGGTTAGGTAGTAGGTTTGCTGGAGTCTCAAGTATTTCCAGAGCCTAGACAGTACTGAGAGTAACTCTTTGTCCACATACTCTTTTATACGTGTTGCAATACTAACAATTTTGCCAAAAATAAACTTTTTCGCACTTCTGTATCATTAGCAAAGTAGATTCCAGGCTCCATCCTTATCAAATATTGATATCGAGATCTTTATCATTATTTGTGTTCTCTCTTTGCATTTGCAATACCCTGTTTGTGAAGGTCACTAGACCTTTGCCATATAACATTTATTAACTAAAGATATTAATAAATGACACAGTCTAGACCAGATATTCATATGAATAGTTGTAGATAAATTTTGTATACAAAATTATAATGTATTTTCCAATTTATAATTCTATTATAGTCAAAACTTTTATGTGTAGTATCTTCTAGTCAAGCGTCTGAAATTACGTGCACATAGTTGATTTCATTATATCATAACATTTAATAATGATTATTAACCGAAAACCTTTGCAGGTTTTCAGAAATGTTAAATGATATTTTATCAAGTAATACTTAAAATAGAAATGCATTAACAGATTAGATGTACAAATACAAAAAAAAATAAAAAAAAAAAAAATAAAAAAAAAACGTGCTGCAAAATGAATTAGAATTGTTAAATTGGCTAAAGGCAAAATAAACTAATTTATTAATTAAATAGTTCTTATAGTAAAGAAATTTAAATGCAATTTATCTGCGCACATAAACTTCTATAATTGCTAATCAATTTATTTACCTTTCATTTTAATTTTATTTAAATAGTAATTAATGAAATTTTTTTAAATTTTATTTTCTTTTGGCACTTTGGGTTTTCTATTCACACACTTCCAATTGTATATTTTCCGTATTTAGTTCTTTAATAAATATTGTTTTTAGTTCCACGGCTTGAAAGCAACTGATTAATATTATTTGAAAAATCCATTTTTTGACAATATAGCTCCTAAGGAAACTGATAAACAGCCATTACTCATAAAGAGATATAAGCCACTTCAGTGATAATGAAATACGCACGGATAAGATTTAAGAAGAATTTCATTTAATAGTATCATTAAAAAATATATATATACATACATATATATATTTGGTCAACATGAATATAACAACAAAATATTTACTAAGATCATTTAGAGATAGTTTGGCCTCCAACTTACCAGGTCTATGATGTCGATATGATCTCAAAGCTAAAAGCAATTAATTTGATGGTATAAATATTTATTTAATACGCATTTCTAGTATCGTTTTAGGCGCTATTTATTTAGTTTTTATTATACTTTCTGGCTGTTATCACAATATATTACAGCATAGTCCTAGGAGTTTCGTTAAAATCGATTTTTATCAGTCATTATGAAGGCAGCAAATACAGTTGGGGCCAATGATTTCTTTATTTTCAAGGTCAAAATTAGTTAATCATCAAGCTATTAAAATTTATATATATATATATTTTTTTTTTAATTTGTATAAATAAAATACATTATATTCCCAATTCAAAAATATACTCCTCATCCTATTCAATATTTGCATTATATATTTAATATTACACATGAGTTGGGCGCTAGACTGTTTATCATTTGGAAACAAGTTTTTACATTTTTAGCGATTTAATCAATTCTGCGTACTACTGATATGCAAGAAAGTTCGCGTATCAATTACATGGGAAACGGTGCCGATAATATTATCGCACTGTTCAATTTACATATTGGCACTACATAGTCATCATCATTCCGTCTATATAAAACCCGACTCGATGGCGAGTTCATGCAGTTTATATGGAAATTTGATCATGACAGGAGTCATGAAATTTCTAGTGACATTTTGGATAATTGTGATTATCAATCAAATATCTGGCGCCCAGTTAAAAGTAAAATAGATTCAAAGCAAAACGACTCCGATATATATATATTATATAATTCTCCCTCTTACAGGATGATTCCGGATTGAAATCACCGATTTGCCAGGGAAAAAATGGGATTCTAATGCCCATGTTTGGCAAATGTCGGGGATACTATATTTGTAATGATGGCCAAGCTATAGCTGGATCCTGTGATGAGGACAGTCGATTCAATCCTCTCACCTTGCATTGCGACGATGCGGACAATGTAATTTGTCCCTATGAAATATCAGCTGATGACGAAGATGAATCGGACATGGACTCTTCCGAAGAAGATCAATTTGATCAGGATAGTGATGAAGTTGAAGAGCCACCCATTATTACGAAGCCAGTGAAGCGACCAGCCAAACCGTCAAAGGAACCCTATCTGGATATATGTTCAGGCAAACGGAATGGCGTAGCTCTGCCCAAAACAGGATCCTGCACTGAATACTATGTTTGTAAATCAAAAAAACCTCAGCTACGTCACTGCCCAGGTCGACAGCAATTTAGCTCCACTCGCAAGATCTGCATGAAGGCCTCGCTGGCCAAGTGCTCGATAATTCCGGAAGAGCCCCAGCCAAGTCCCGCCATCACGGCCGGCTTCTGCTCCGATGAGAAGCAAGATGCTCTGGTGCCACATAAAGACGATTGCAATAAATTCTTGCTCTGCAGCAACATGATGTTCTTAGTTATGGATTGTCCGCAAGGATTGCATTTCAATGCCCAAGCCAAACGCTGCGACTACCCAAAGGTCGCACAGTGCAATATCGATAAAAAGACCACTAAGAAAATTAACCGAAAGCAATTAAATAAGCGAAAGCTGAAAAAAGTATAAATCTTATCTTTCTAAATATATATGTTCCTATATCTGATGCAATATTAATATCCGAGACTTGTTTTACGACTTGGTCGTTTCAAAGAGATCAATTTAATTAATTTAAGCCGACCTCAAGAGGGACATTTGTTAAATTTCATTACGATTTATATAACTTATTTTACACTCGATCACAAATCGAAAATCGTAATAAGATGCCCATCTTGGTATCCCAGCATCCCCCATCTATATGTGATCGTAAATCATTTCACTGCTTTACATTTTCAATATATATTACCATCGACAGTCGCCATTGTAAGTAAAGGAATAAATTTATAATCTACACCGGAACGAATACTAGATAAACTAAATACATAATACCATGTAAACTTTCATTTTCAGATCATAAATCTTTTCAAAAATCTATTCATCATATCATACAGTTTCTGGATCGTAAACCATTTTCATAGCTGGCCAAATATATTTTTGAAAACTCAGAATGGATGTCTGGGAATGCTGCTTTAAATATGTTTATTAAGAAGTTTAGCAGTCAGAATTATCTGGCCAGTCACACGCGAGAACCTGCTGGTTGAAAACCAAGCCGGCGCTACAGGTGAAGGCAACCTCACACTCACACTGGCATACAATATAGCCTCCGCTGCATTTATTCTTGTCATCGACTAACATGGTGCCATCGCGTTTTCCAAGACAACGACCCTTGCTCTCACAGTAGGTGCCGGAGGGGCCGGCTGTGGGTCCGCTTGGCGGTGGGCTACCATCATCGCATTGGACAACATCGGGATAGTCGCATTCCTTGGTAATATTGTTGAACTGCAGATTGTTGGGACAGTTCTGCTGGATCACATTGCCATATAGACATTGAATGAATGCCGAGCAGTTCTTCTCGACGGGTCCAATCCAATTGTTAGGCATATCACAGCATTCGGCATCGCAGACCTTGGGAATACAAACACCGTTCTCATCAATAACGCAAGCACCCAGCGAATTATCGAAATAGGTTTGAGCAGGGCATTTTCTCTGGACAAACTTATTATCCACACACTCGTAGAAACCAGCACAGTTAGATTCATCTGGCTTAAGAACGCCATCCTTACAGCCTACTGAAACGCACTGACCATTATCCTGCTCACACTGTTTGCTAGCCGCGTTCCAGTAGTCACCAGAGTTGCAGGAAGCGGAGACATATTGTCCGTTCTGACAGACCAGATATTTGGTGCAGTCCGAAGCATCTGCCTGGGTATCTCCATTTGAGCATGGAGCCTGAGTAACGCACTGACCATTATCCTGCTCACACTGTTTGCTAGCCGCGTTCCAGTAGTCACCAGAGTTGCAGGAAGCGGAGACATATTGTCCGTTCTGACAGACCAGATATTTGGTGCAGTCCGAAGCATCTGCCTGGGTATCTCCATTTGTGCATGGAGCCTGAGTAACGCACTGACCATTATCCTGCTCACACTGTTTGCTAGCTGAGTTCCAGTAGTCACCAGAGTTGCAGGAAGCGGAGACATATTCTCCGTTCTTGCAGACCAGATATTTGGTGCAGTCTGAATCATCTGCCTTGACATCCCCATCTGTACATGTGCAGGGAGCTACAGTAACGCATTGGCCATTGTCGTCTTCACATTGTTTGGTATCTCTATTCCAGTACTGTCCGCTTGGGCAGGACTTAAGAACAAACTTTCCCGTACAGCAGCCGTAGTATTGCGTGCAATCGTTTTCGTCGGGCTTGGTATCGCCAACCTCACAGCAATCATCATCGGCCACGGCTCCCAAGACTAAGGCCATGGCAACGAAGAGGAGATACGCTGCAAGTGGATAGATGAATCAAGTATAATATTGATATTATGGCAGAGAATGAATTTTGTTAACTTACCGAAATTTAAGTTTCTTCGGTTAGCCATTTTCGCACTTTGCTTATTGAACGACTATTACCTAGGTAGAGAATTCGTCAACTAACTTTTTCTGGTCCAAGTCTCAGCTTTTATATTTTTCCGCAATTAAAATAATTAAATGCTTCTGCCTAAAAACGGATGCAGCTACCAGCAGATAAAATGGAAACCAGTGCTACTGATCATATCGAGCATATATTCGAACACAACACAACAAAGATTGCTTATCAAACTTCTAAAAATGTTTAAAAGAAAGTATGAATTGATGAATCAAGATAACGAGATATATATCTCATTGACCTAAACACTCAATACACAATAGTAGAGAGTATAGCATACTCTAGGGCGAGAAACCAGGAAAATAAATAAAGTCAATTTATTAAGGAGGGCTTAAAATCATTAAAAACTAAAACTAATCTCACACTATTTTTCCATTTGTCCAATTGTTTTATTTTAGGAGTACTCGAAATTATGTAAATTTAATTGGAATTCCTTAAATTCTTTAAAGATTTTTCCAATTAATCAAGTATTTTTTTTTTTGTAGCTTTTATTTTGTTATTGTTGTTATTGTTATTTTTACATGAATTTCTTTTCCAATTTCAATTCGACACGCTTTAAAATGTGGTTGTGGAATTACCTTTGGTATCTCCTACACACGCCATGATTGTTGTATCAAAGTAAGTGCCATGGGCACATTTCTGACTCACGAATTGTCCCATCACACAGAGAAAATAGGCCGCACAGTCTTGCGGATCGAGTTGAATATCGTTCTCCCTACATTCAGCCGCATCAGATTTACATGATTGCATAGTGGAATTCCAATAGCTACCAGTTTCACAAGTCTTATGAACTAAAGTTCCACCGCAGCAGACATAATAGCTGATACCATCATTCGGATCCTCCTGGGTTTCGCCCTCTATGCAACAGTTTCTGGCTAGCGATGCGATTGAATGCCATAATAGAATGCCCACGAGGAAGACTATATGATAAATTCAAATCCTTAAAATCTCCAAAAGCTTTCTGCTCCTTCACAATTCATATGTTTACCGTATTGCTGATGCTGTAAACGTTCGAAGTACATTTTCAACTGTAATTAGCTTGAAGCACGAGTGTTTACTAAACAGCTGCCTGTTTCTCTCACCTTTTATATTATTCGCCTATCAAAATTATGATATTTTTTCCCGTCAGATAATAGAGTCTGATAATATATTACACGACTATCAATATCTAGGGTCTTACAAGACTCGTCCGATATACTGTAAATTATTTTAATTAATTGTTTAGCTAATTGCTGAAAATTTCCAATAACGTCGGTAAGCAATTTATGGTTTATATTGAACTTTACCCGGCAACTACCCGGCAAGCCCCTTTTTACCCCTTTCAAATCATTGAGCAAGTAAACACAAAGAGCTTAATCGTAATCATATGTAGTTAAAAGCTAATACGTTGATTGAAAATCTCTAGTGGCCAAGTAATAAAACTCTTATCTTATCTAAATCTTTGTTAATGACTGATAAGACCTTTGGAAGATCCAAATAAACTTTTTATAATTTCTTAGTATTGCCTTAACTGAAGTAATATATGGGTAACTGTTTGACTTGCTGTTGTCTGACTAAAGAATCACAGCTGGAGCTATAAGAGGACAAATATATTCAAGTCTAATCGTAAATACAAAAAAAATGCGCATATCAACTGCAAACTTATAATAGTTATAATTAATTACTTATCTTCATATTGATTATTTTGTAATATATTAGTCACATTAATATTATTATTATAAACTTCGAGCTCGGCTGAATTTAAGCAATTATATAATTGAATTGGTAACAATAAAGAGATCGGGAAATGCTCTGCGGCAGAAAATGTGGACCCGGACGGATGGAACACTGCTACGAAGTACAGCTAGAGCACACAGAGAAATACATATGCATATTGATAATAATTATACAGATACCAATTGGTGGCTTAGTAAATCGGAAAAGATATCAACAATTTGCAATGTTTGACAATGGATGAGTATTCTACAGTCGGTAGTGCCCATTTTAACTGTAATTCTCATTTTCAGTATCAGTATTATTATCATTATTAATATTTATATATATAAATATACATATATAATTAAACAAACATTTAAATAAAATAAGTACAATATTTAAATATAAATTATTATAAATTATTTAAGATAATAAGTTGAAGCACTTACCAGTCAATCCACTGCAATGCACTACAACTGTCCAGCTGCAGATCTCCTATACCACTGATCAAGCGCTTCAAAAGATGAGCCTTTATATAGGAGATCGAACCTGCTCGAACGCCGTTGAAGCTCAAGAGCCTTGCCTGAACAGTCGGGCGATGTGTATTAGCTCTGTAAATTGAGTAATATAGGAAGAGAGGCGAGCACAGCTAAATCTACGCCGCTCAGCTCAAGAGTTCAAGCGGCCTCCTTAGTTCCAACTCAAACATGTTGAGTAGATTGAAAGGAATTTTATTATTTTATTTTTATTTATCATTTATTATTGTTAATTTATTTTTCATTTAATTAAAGAGAGCAGCCGGCTTGGTCAGGATAATTGCACGTGGACAATTTGGTATCCCAGTAGAGACCTGGCGAGCACTCCATGGGCACCTCACACTCGCACTGGCAGACGACGTAGCCGCTGCAGCTGGTCAGGGATGGGAAATAGGTGCCTTCGCGCTGTCCCAGGCAGCGGCCGTTGCTTTCACAGGAAATGCCCGAGGGTCCGGCTTCCGGGCCAGTTGGTGGCGAATACGGCCAATCACATTTAACATTTTGGGGATAGTCACAGATCTTGGTCTTGGCGTCATAGAGCAAATTATTGGGACAGATCTGCTCTATGGCACAGTTGAAATTACATTTGTAGAACTTGTTGCACACACCGTTAATGGGGAAGAGTTCGCCCTCCGGCTGGTTCTGGCAAATAGTCTCGGTGTTCGGGCAGACGACATCTGGCACATAGTCCGGCGCATAATCGCACTGATCGGAAGTGGCATTGTAGATCAGACCATCGGGACATATGACAGCGCTGCTGCCACTACCGCCGCCGCTACCACCGCTACCGCCGTCACTACCGCCATCCGTATTTGGTACATTATCCCAGTCACAAGCCTGAACCGCCTCATTGAATTTGGTATTCGCATCGCAGGGCATGGCAATGGGACACTGGCACTGGCAAACGAAGTAGCCATTGGTATCCGGATCAGCAAACATCTTACCATCCCGTTGGCCGGCGCAAATCCCCTGATCGCTGCAAGTGGTGCCCGATGGACCCACCACCTCACCATCACTGTCGTCTGTGGTCACTGGCTTGCAGTCCACGTCCCACGGATAATTGCAGATGCCTTCAATGGGATCGAAGTAGAGGCCGCTGGGACAGATCTGCTCCGTGCTGCAGCCGTGATTGCATTGAATAAACTTCGTGCAGACGCCAGGCAGCTGCAGCAAAGCTCCGTCCGGCTGATTTACACAATCCGGACGCTTGTCGACGCAGAAGTCGGGCACGTCACCACCACCGCCTGGTGGTGCCACCGGACTATCGGTTGGACTGGGACCAGGAGCGGGCTCCGTATTGTAGGTAGTCTCCCCCTCAGACGTCGTCTCATCGGGCACTGTCTCTGTCACACCTATATCCGGACTGCTTGTGGGGCCGGTGGGCTTCGTGGTACTCTCCACCGGCTGACAGGGCGTAGTCTGCTCCGGAACACTGGGCTCATCGGGACACTGCTCGGCACAACAGGTGCACACACAATCCTCGTCGGCGACCGCCTTGCCGAACGGCAAGAGACCCGTACAAACGGCACGCCACTGGAAATCGCATTCACCCAGCTCCGAGTTGAAGTGCAGGCCACGTGGACAGCGGCGAATCTGCGCAACTTCACGATCTTCGCACACCGCAAATCGAGCACAATCCAAGGGCAAGGCCAGACGCGTTCCATCCTCCGCATTGGAGCAAATAGTCGCCCATTGCGCCAGCGAGCTATGAGCTCCAATCAGCAAGAGCAAGCCGATTGAGACTGTGTGAAGGTAAATCACGGAATGAATGAATGAATGTATTTAAATCCATTTGCTATTTACCAATTTCTTTCTTGAATTTGCACATTTCTCCTCGCCAGAACATCGAGCGCAACTAATTGCCGTTCGAGCTGGCTCAGTGGCATTTATGGAAGTGGAAAGCAAAAATTTGGGCAACAAATTGTATTTGTATTGCCCATATAGTATATCAAATCAGTAGTCAATCGTCTTGATAATACCAATAAACGTATTTACCTCTTGATTAGTTCTCTTCGCTCTGTTATCAGAGGAGCTTGGGCCCGCTGCAGGCATCGCGTGTGTAATTACGCACTTGTTGCGGGATCCCAAAGTCTCTTATCGACAACAACTATCATTGTCGGAAAAAAAAACTTCTTCAACTTGGAGCCATGCTCAATATTCGCAAAATGCCGACACTCACAACTTGTTGAAAGCGTTAATTTCCATTCTTCCTCTAGCGATAAGGCAGCTTTCTCACTCTCTGTCTCACCTCATTGATATCAGAGACACACTTAAAGGTTCATTCATTTGGCAATTGTTTAACATTCTTTTAGCTATTAACTCCATTGTTCAAAAGCACCGATTGCAATCTCTAGGCAAATAACAACATGGGCGCACTTAACTGGTCTTACGCGTTTTTATTATGTGAACTGCAATTAATATTGTACATTATTACAAGCACAAGTCTTTTAAGCTAGTCGGCTTTTCTGATTACAAACAAATCGTTAACTAACTAAACTGATTATGTGATTATATATATATATTATGTTATTTATATATATATATATATATATATATATATATATATATATATATATATATATATATATATATATATACAGTAGACGGCATAAGTATTTTGACAAAATGAAATGCGTGTATTGCTGGTTAATTATATGTCTTGTATAGAGAAATTATAGAAACTCTAAGATATGCACCAAATATTTTTGTCACAGCAAATTTATATAAATAAATTCATAGCTCATATTCAGGAGCATCACTCGCACTCAACAAATCAAAACACCTCCACATTTGCCGAAGACATAATTGCATTTGCACCATATCGTCCAACAACACCCCCATTCCCTCCGTTTCCAGCCTAAAAATCTTAGGCCTAACACTAAATAATAAATATAGATGGGACTCCCATATAAAAGCAATACAACCGGCGCTAACAAAAAAACTAAATATAATAAAATTCCTTGCCAATCCCAAACAAAATTGCAGCACCCATACCCTCATAAACATTACAAAAGCTACGCTTCTATCAAAAATAGAATATGGGATTTTCATATACGGCCATGCCCCCAAATCAACCCTCAATAGACTTAAAACCTTACTTAACGCCGCAATCCGCATATCCCTTGGAGCACTACGCTCGACCCCTATCCCCAACTTGCTTTTCGAATCAAATATACCCACAATAGAACAAAAAAGAGACCTCATCACAGCCAAATCCTATAAAACACTCCTAAATAGCTCAGACTCCCCACTCCATAAATACATAAAACGGAACTGCAACCATAGAAACAGCAAACTAACATCAACAGTGCAAAAAATAATAAATTCATGCAAAGAACACAATATCCCCTACCTTCCACCTCCAAACAAAACAATCACCCCCTCATGGTTATTTCCCGCTCCCCTCATCAACACCACACTACACCAATTCAGCAAACCCCACACACCTCCCAGCTCATATAGACAACAATTCGCCAATCTCAAACATATATACAAAGACCATACATTCATTTACACCGACGGCTCACTGCAAAATGACACAGCCACTTTTGCCATTACTACAGAAAATGAAGTCCTAAAAAGATGTATCCTACCCCATTACTCATCCATCCTATCCGCCGAAACCATAGCTATTCTCCATGCCATAGAACTGATCCAAAAAAAAGAACAGGAAAATACATCATTTGCTCCGACTCCCTCTCGTCCCTAAAATCCATCTCCAATACCAACAACAACAACTTATATCCCGCAACCATAAGAACACTCCTTACAAAATCTGCCCCCAAAATAAAACTGTTCTGGGTACCCAGCCACTGTGGCATCGATGGGAATGAGCTTGCCGATATCACAGCCAAATCCACAGCCAAAATGCCCCTCCACTACACCCCAAACTTCAATTCCAAAGATATACACAAATTCCTTGCCAACGAATCATCCAAAAAACTCCATCAAAATATAGAAGTCTGCAACAGTTGGTATCAGCAACTCAACAACCTGACACACACAACCTATTACTTAAAAAACATAAAACAAGAAATTATTACACGCAGCGACCAAGTAAAAATACTAAGACTCCGACTAGGACACACAAGATTTACAAAACAACAATACATCAACCCTGACAACATAATCCCATGCCCCAACTGCAACACCACAACAGACCTCACCATCCAACATATTTTCTTTAACTGTCCCGCAACTTCCCACCTGAAAACCCAAATCTTCCACAACAGCTGCCCCATATCCTTACTCTCAAACCCAACCCCTGAAAACATATGCTCAATAATCAAGTTTCTAAAAATAACAGATTTATACCACCTCATTTAGTTCCCAACCAACAAAACAATGTAAATATGTATATAAATGTAAATGCATAGGATAAGTTAGAGCCGAAGGCCATAGTAGCCAGTGCTGTTAAAATTAAGTTAGATCTTAATTTTTAATTATATCTAACTTTATAAAATAAAATAAATAAATAAATAAATTCATAAATATGCATTAATTGTAATATGCAGATTCAGTACCTAATTAATAAATAAATCAATTTAAAAATAATCTATAATTATAAAAAATGTATGAATATAAAATTTTTTTAAAATTATAAATAAATGAAAATAAATTTTGAAAAATTCGTACATATATATTTCATATTTTAATTTGTCAAATACCAAAAGTATGCAAAGAAATATACTTTTTGCGAATTATTTATATGAATTCTTAAATATATTAATTTTATAACATACTTCTTTATTATTATTATTATTAAGGGTGTCTGTTTTTTTAGTTTTGATAACCTTGAAGTTAAATTTTTTCTGAAATGATATTTATCGCATCGTTGACGAACAACTCATCTAGCTGCAATGCAGTGTGCGTTGTTTCATTATCAACTAAAAAAAAAAAAAAACAACAAGCGTTGTTAAATCCTTCGAAATGCTATTTCTGTGTACTTTCGAGATGTCAAATTAATTTCAGCAAACTCTTATTTTTAATTGGTTTGCAAGCCGTAATTGCTCGCTCTGATTGCTCTTCTGTTCATCATCATCAGTGTATGCACTGTAGCAATCAAATGTTAATTACCTTAGGCCTTCTGCAACACTTTCAATATTTCCTCTGTGCATTCTTCATACTGAAGTTTCAGTTTTTGTGTGCTATAAAGCCAATCGTAAGTGAAAAACTCACGACATTTCTGATTTGAAATTTATCGTAGACTCGTGTAACAATGCTGATCCAAACTAAGAGCAAAACAAAACCATTATATCCTGATTTTCCATTGTCAATGGGTTCAGAATAGCTCTTATATCTTCTGAGATCCTTTTGCTCATACGGACGGACGGACGGACAGACGGACAGACGGACAGGACTATATCGACTAAGCTCGTTGTCCTGATCAAGAATATATATACTTTATGGGGTCTGCGATAATTCCTTCTGCCTGTTACATACTTTTCACAAAACCATTATACCCTGATTTCCCATTTTCAATGGGTTCAGGGTATAAAAAATAATAATATTTTTTTTAAATAATAATAATAATATAAAGAGATAATAAAAGGAGATATTTGTATATTGTGTTTTTTAAAAAATAATAAAAAAATATATATATAATAATAATAATAATAATAATAATAAAGCAAAATTAAAAAATTAAATAAATAAAATATATAAATTGTCATTTTCAATGGGCTTGGGGCTTAAAAATAGTAAATATCCTAAGGCAAGAATAATTAAGTACTGAGAGAATGAAAGAAAGATCTGTATAGAAAATTAATACATATGTATATATGCGTTTAAGTCAATTACATTTGGTATACCAATTATATTATATATCATTTATATTTATATATTATTTATATATACAGTTATATTTATATAAAAACTCGCTGCTGGCTAATCTGTATAAATCAGATTGTTTTATTATTTTAATTACTTCAAATGCCTTTGCAAACATTATAGCCTTAAAGGGTATTGATAGGTCTACTTGACACAAAATAGCTGCTGCCATTGAATAACAGTTTGATAGGTAAGCGATATTAGCACAATTAAGACACAAAACAAACACATGGACAAAAGCAGATGTCAACTGTATATAGAGAAAAGAAATCGCACATATATATATATATATATATGTACACAATATATATGTTTGAGGTATGACATGTACTGTTAGCTATAAATAATTATGCACCTTGATGCACAGCGGTGACTGCGGTGAGTGGCTTCCTGCTTTGGGTCGAGTTAGATGGGATCCGCATTTGAAACTGAGACCGAGACAATTCTAATTATTTCTTTTAGAGAAACATACGCTGAGGTACGCTTGAATTAAATTACACCAATGCAAAGAAGACTCAACTAAGCCTTAAGAAAGAGTAGTAGCTGCAGTTGAAGAAGAGCAACAAATGTAAATAGCTTTCGGGGCTAGACGCATGATGGATTTGATCCATGGCTGGCAAAAGTTCGGTTTATGGGTATACATTACATGGTAAGTGTTTGTTGTGCCCAATGTAGGGTATGCACAGACACAAACAGACACGCACACTAAAACACATATAAACAGCTATGCATATGCATAGTGAGAAGGAGGACACCGGGTCCAGCAAGGGAAATACGAGTTGATCGACACACAGTCAGAGCGTAAGGGACAAGCGTACGCTCGGGTCTATTGTAAAAATCTTCTCAGGTGTAACAGGTTTCTCAGATTTAAGCGCAGCGCTGCGCTTGTCGCCCAAACAGTCGTCTGTGACACGTTCGCTCGTCTCGTTATCAGTCGTGATCGCGTTCGCTCAAAAAAAAATTATATAAATAAAAAAAATGAAGTAGTGCCTAGATAATATTATCTATTATGCCACACACCCAGCAGACATCAAACACCACACCAGTTCAAATTGAAGAACTGAGATCGATTGGTGCATAGATA